CTAGGAAGATGTTTGTTTTTAGTGATTATTGCTTCCTCTGTTCATCCCTGAACATTTGGGATGGCAGCACCTCAAACCCCCCGAGTTTTGTCTGAACTCAGGAGCTCAGGGAAGTTTGGGTGGTTTTGGTCATTTAGATTTTGGGGGTTTGTTTTTGGAAGAGCTCTCCACCACTATTCAGAGGTGGAGAAATACAAGATCTGAGTGAAAATCACTGTTGTGATCAAGAGAAATAGCTTCAGAGAAGATATTTCCTGGAAAACACAACACTATGGATCAGGAAAATGTTCCCTGGTTTGGGAACAGGTCAAAATATATGAGTTTGTTTCAAAATCCCATTAAACCACCAGAAAATTTAATGTATGACAACTGTGACTATGATACTCAGCATTTTAAGATTATTTAGTATTTTTAACACATTTTTTTGAAATTCAGGATATTTTAGTAGTCTCACTGTAGCAGCAGCATATTTTTAATAACAGAAAACTTTTTAAGGCTTTTTAAAACCCCATAAAAGGAAGTTTTCTTATTGAGACCAAAATCTTTCAGTCTCAGCAAACTTTACTGTAATCCAACCATAACACCTGTTCCAGCACAATTCCAATTATCCTGTAACTTAATATTTAACAACAATAACACCTTAATATTGTAATAATATTAATATTGTACTATCAATATGTACAATTTGCTTTCTAAATCAGGTGATTACATAAATTAGTTTGCAATTTTATGATATTTTACATAAATGAAATGGAATTAATATCTGAATGCAGTGATTAAGACAATATAATTTATCAAGCATCACAAGATTAAGGGATATTTGTGAAGAACTAGCACTATAAATGCATGGGTAATTGGAATTTAATGTAAGCAGTGCTTGGAGTTGTAAAAACCACCTTAACTCAATCTCTGTGGAAGATTAGAGCAGTCAGAGCTAAAATCTGTTTTTTGCTGGTAGAAATGGAAAAAACCCATCTTAATTCAAATTACTCCAACAATTTCAATTATTTACTTAACTTTTTGCAATGGAATTTGGGACAGAAGCGAGCCAGCACAGGGCACACTTCTCTTAATAAAAGTTATATTTTACTCTATTTTCCAGAGCACAGCAATGTTTCAGTTCTCTCAAACACTGAAGCAAATGGAAATGAAGAGATTTTGCAAGAGCTTCTCCAGGAGCTGAAACCTCCTCAGCACCACGAGAAGCAAAGCCAGAGTGACACAAGGACACTGGATTTGCTCCAAGGAAAATCCCATTAACACACCTGAAATGTTTATAATGAAGTTGTTTTTCTAAAGATTGAAAAGAGAAAATCCAAGCCTAATTCCTGCTTTCCCTTTGGTTCTTTACTCTTATGAGTAGAATCAGCATTACTCCAAAGTTACTGTTCCTGAGTTCAGCTTTTGGCTCATTCAGCTCCAATTCCACTTGACACAACCTGGAACTGCAGCAAAAGCCAAGGGGGGAGGAAAAATTTAGAGGAAAAGTAGCCTGGGTGTTGTAGAATTTTGTTTTCTCACTACATTTTTATTTCCTGGCTGCTTTGTGCCATCAATTTCTTGATAACAAGGAACCAAAAGTGCAATTTTCTCTTCAAAAAGCCTTTAGGCAGCAAAATGAGACAAGTGTCTCCCCTTCCCTGTCTGCAGCTTCCACTGATTTCATCCTCTCCCCACAATTTCAATTTTCTATTTGTCTTTTATGTGCTCACACTTGGCTTTGGGGTTATTTTGGCCCCCTTTACCACAGTGGTAGCTCTCATTTTTAATCAGGAGTACAGTAAAGAATGGGAAAAATAAGTTCTAAATTTCTGGATCTTCAATTTATTTATCTTATCTCATCTCACAAAGCTTTGCCCATGAATTCCAATTCTGCATCCATGGATTCTGGAATATGTATGGAGAGTGCCAATATTCCCATCTCATTATTCTCCTGCTGTAACAGAGCTCTGGGAAGATTACAACAGATTGTTGTAATTTAATAAATTGTTGTAATACAGGATTTTTTTTCCCTGTAATTCCATGTTATTGTTGCTATTATTTAATGTTTGCAGTCCTATCTTATTTTTATCCTTCAATTTTTACCATGTGGTGAATACACAGGAGGGGGAAAAAGCATCAAAAATTCTTCCTTTCCAGGAAAACTCAGCGGGAAATAAAGTCAAATTAAAAAATAAATGTATGTATAAAAATCTACAACGTCACCACTGCCTAGAGATGAGGAAAATCTCAACATTCAGCTGTTTGCACAAAACTACAATTCTGCATTCTGGAAATAAGTTTGGAAGTTTTAAGGATATTCCTGTGTTTAATATATGAGCATAAAGTGAGTGTAAATCCAGAGTCACTTTGGAATTTAAGTCAGGAATTGGCAAACCCAACCTGCAACGGTTGATTTTTAATTGGTGTGTTCTAAGAAATTATTCAATTGTCACTCATTTGCTCCTCCCATTTTTCATGTTTTTCTGCAGAACTTCCTACAGGAACAACTCTCTCTTCACCCCCAATGCTGGCAGCCCAGAGTTTTTTATAATTCCATTTCTAATCCCATTTAAAATCCCATTTATAGCCTCAGCTCCAATGTCCCATCAGGAGCACAGACCTCAACAATTGGGAATTTCTGGTTTATCTCAAAGGAGAAGAAAATCTCTCCCTCATTTCCTCCCCACTCCCCTGGAAGTGACTCCCACCTTGTTTCCACACAGGAGCAGGTGAAAAGCCTGACAGAATTTCCTTCCTGGCAACCTCATCCTGCCACAGGATAAAACTGAGCTCAAATCAGTTAGAAAACACACCAGATAAAATCCCTGCAGTTGTTTACACCTACGATTACAGGAGAATATTTTAATTAAGTCTAGCAAATATATTCAAGAGAAACACCACTCTGATGAGGACAAATTTGATTTAAAACACTTGTAATTTGTTTGTAAGATTCTGAAATAAAGTCAAATCAATTTATAAGTTTTACTGCCATGAATGTAGAGTGAATTCTGCAATATTTATGGGCAAAGGGGTTGCCTGGGGGTCACCTGGGCAGCTCCACTTGGCTTTTCCACCCCTTTTTGGTGACTTTGCCTCTCACCTTGCCCACAAGATGGGCCAAAGATCCCAAATATTCCCCCCCTGCACTTCCAAACCTGGTGTTCCTCCAGTGCTCCCATTTCTTTCAGCATTGCTTAGGGGAAAGCAGGCAGGAAAGGAAGAGGCTGAGATGTTTTAATTTCTTTCTGACTTTCACTGCAGAGAACAGCACAAATACTTACTCTGAGTTTGTCAGCCTGGGCAGAGCAGGGTTCCAAGGCTTTCAGTGAAAGCTCAATTATTTTATTTGTTGTTCTTTACACCTCTCCAAGTTCCTGGAAGGTGTGGAAGACAGAAAAGCAGCAGCAAGGTGCCAGATTTTCCCCCAAACTCTCTTTTTTAAGTGACAAAGATGCACTTTTTTCCTGCTACAGTTTCAGGCTGTGGCAAGCTCATTCAAAATGAAACATATTTGTGATAATTGTAAACAATAATTCTTGCAATAATGTAAAATGATTGTCTATTCCTAAGTACTGAAAGCACAGGGCAATTTATTAAAAACATGCACTGTGGAGTGTTGGAGTTAAGGATCCCAGAAGTGACAAACTCCTCCTGTTCTGTGCTGGCAACATCCCTTTGGAACCAGAAGAATTTTGAGACTAGATTTATTTCAATTTGCAACTTCAGGCACAGAATTTGTAATTTTTCTACAACTACTCAATTACTCTCACATTTTCTGTTTTCCCACAGGTGTTTTTTTGTGATGCTATTCACAGAAGTCAGCAGCATTTTGATTTGAATATTTTCAGTTTGGCATCAGCAGAAATATCTAGATCAGAACTCAGCTTTCAAATTTCACCCTCAAAAGCACCAAAATCAGCAGAAAACTACTGCAAAATAGGGGGTGAAAGGGGGAAAATGAAGCAAAAAAACTGAAGCAGTCTTCTAAAAAGCAAATATTTTCCATTGAGTAATGGCAATTATGTGAGCAAGATAAAATCAAAGCTCTAAAGGTGTTGTTACTACATGTAGGACATGTTCTCCAACAACATTTTCTTTAGTACTGACAGCAAATGTTCTGTCACACACCCAAACCAGCATTTGATAATCCTTAATTAATATTTTTCCCCAAAATCTAGAGTACAAATTAAATATTTTAATTACACCCTATTGATATAGTAAAAAAATCAGAGATTTATAATTTATTTTAAATGAGAAATACTTGGTTAAACTTAGTTTAATTGAACTTTTAGTTTTGCTGTTAAAAAAAAAAAAATTAGTAAGAGCCAAATAAACCTGTTACTTATCCCTTCAATTTTAAATAATTTGGAAAACATTAGTGGGGGAAAATGCAATCCTTGTGATAACAATCCACAGCCTTAGATGGTTTTATTTCCTTCTAACTATAAATTTTAGAATTTGGGGGTTGAAGTTCTGCTGTCATTCTGTGGAAAATATTGCTACATTTCCCAAGTGGAAATACTGAATTTTGGACAGTTAGATCAGTGGATTTCTCTTCAAAAAGGCAAAGAGAAAGGCCCTGCCCTCAGTCAGAAAGACTAAAAAAAAAAAAAGCAGAAAATTTCAGTGCAGTTACTGAGACAAAGCCTGGTGGGATGAAATATTCAAATTATGGTGGGAAATCTCTGGTTTATGGTTAATATTTACTCTGCTTCCTCGTGTTTCCCTTTGGAGGGTGGGAAGCCTGAAATTCCAGCTTTTAGGAAAAAAGGGATGCTCCCCTCATTGAAACAATTTGTAGGAGAAGAAAAAAAAAATCCCATTTTGGGGAAAAATAATATAAAATAAATGAAGATATCAATATTCTTTTCCAAATGTTCCCCTCCCCTGCTCCCAGTGTTCCCTGACTCTGAGCTTTGGGTATCTCTGCCCCAGCATTCCCTTTACCTTTCACTTTACATTTCTCCCTTCTGGAAATTTTGGCAAAGTGAGATTTCAGAACAACTGTATTTAAAAAAAAAAATAAAAAATAAAAAGGATGTATTTACTCCAGGTTGTTTTCTTGGAGGTGCTTCTCGCTCCATCTTGAAGCAGAAAATACAGGAATAAAGTGTTGGAGGAAATAATTAATTGGCATGGAGACTTGCAAACAGAGATATCCTCTTTTTGTGGGTGTAGCTGTAAAAAAGGACTGTACAGAAAGCCTGGAGGAAGTGAAGCAAGCACAGCCACCCAGCTACAAGTTTTTTAAATATTTTGGTTTTTTAGAGGGGAACTGGAAGCTCCTTTGACAGAAACAGGCCTAAAATAAACTCTATTAAAACATTTCAGACCTTGGGGAAGCTCCCACTGATCACTGATTTCTAGGCCAGAGTAGATTTGGGACTCATTAGTAATTACAGATAATGGCAGAAATAGATATTTAAAAGAATTAATATTTAAATACTTGTAGCTTAATTTACATTTTAATTGGCTGGCACCTAGCAAGATTCTCATTATTTAAAAACTGGAAAAAAAATTAATGTTGTTCCCTTCAGCCTGACTTTAAAACAGCAAACAGATGCAAGCAAGCCTCAGAATCTGAAGGTCAAACACGAATATAAATGATGTGATATTGACAAATTGGGATTATTTTTACCGTATGGGGTGTAAAGTGTAATTGGTTATAAATGTGCTATTTCTGGAGCTACACAAGTGTAAACAACAAACACAATTCAGGGGATTTTTCTTGCACTTATTTTATGCACAGTTCATTTTTCCACACTCATTTCTCAGTAAAACCATGATTCTCTGAGAGCTGCAGACAACACCAGATTATACAATTTAAAAAAAATAAATTCAAATTTTAATTAATATTGATAGAATTCAGCCAAAAGCACCCCCAGTTGCTGAGCCTCTGCCACGCTGAAGCAGCACAATAATATTGGGGTTGAAGGTTTCTTTTACACGCCAATATTTACGTGCTGCTAGGGCGGAACGAGCACAATCCTGCAGTCAGGAACACAATTCCCTCCTGGAAAAGGGGACAGCAGAATCCCCAACTGCTTCTGGGCCTTCAATTCCTACAGCAGCAAATAATGATTTGCACCTTGAGCAGAACATGCAAACCATGATGTGCTGCTACAGCACCTCAAGGCCTCCAAGGCAATATTTCAAACCTGCATTTTTTTTTTTAGAGTTTTAACTGGAAATACAACTTTCAAATCGGATTTATTCTCGCACCAACCTGTAAAATTAAGAACCTGTTATGATCCAGATCAATCCCATGGCTTCGGAGGAGCATCCCAACATCTCTGAATGTCTTTTTCTTGCCATTGATGCAGTAGGTGGAAGAATTATCTCTATAGGCAGTTCTAGACACACAGAATTTGCTGTCAGGAATGACTTCGTAATCATCTCCTTCCTGCTTTAAGGAAACACAGAGCCAGACAAACAATTACTGTAGCTGTGGATCTACCTCCTATTTCACAATTAAGCAGCTAAGTTTCATCATGGGATGCTTTTATCATGGACTCTGAGTTGTAGAAGTGGGAGCTGTCTTAAAATTGCATCTCTTAAAAAAAAAAAAAAAAAAAAGAGGAAAAACAACAACAAAAAAATCCTTTGAGAAGTGGACAAAAAAATACCCAGAGCTTTCTCCATCTGATGTCTTTCCCACCTCTAATATCAATAGTGCTTTGAAAATGCTGCATGAATTGCCTTTGCAGTGCCCCAGGTTGCAGTGGCTGTGCTGTCCCAGCCTGGAGTGACTCTGGGAAGCCCTGGGGACTGCAGAGCATTTACTGCTCCTCCAGAGCTGCTCTCAGCTCAGAGCTCCAAAGAGAAACTGCACAAGATAAAAAAAAGCCAAACATTAAAGATGTGACAAATGTGACATCAGCAGCTTCAAAAGAGAGCTTCCATTTACCTCCAGAGCAGCAGCCAAAATAAAGCTGGTGCCAGGCTTCAAGAAGTTAAAACTCACCCAGATTAACCCCCCAAGAGCTCTCAAATGGCTCTCTGGTTTTAATTCAAACTCAGCTTCTGGATGTTAACACAAAGTAAAACAAAAGTTGAAAAAAAAAATTAAATAGATGAATTTTTTAATCTGGTTATTATAAATACAGAAAGAAAAAATAATAAATGTCTTTTCAAACAGTTCCTAAAAAATGCTGTAAGTGCTGCCACTTTATGAACCAGCAGTTTTGAAATTTCAATGTACACTTCCCACTTTTTTGGTTGACCCGAAATTTAAAAGTTTGGATGTGGGCACTAAAAAGAAATTTAAATTAGGAGAAATAATTTTTTTGCACCACAATTGCAATAAATCAACAAAAAAGTGCTAAAGTTTTTATCAGTACACAAAGCAGCAAGCAAAAGAAATATTTTTGTAATTTCCTAACTCCTTCTATTTCATTCAAACAAAATGTCAGCTTCAAAAAATTTTAGTGGTAAATTGTGAGGTCCAGAAATTTTGCTGAAAAATCTGTTATAAAATTGCAGGCACATTTACAGCAAATAAAGTGTAAATAAGTTTCAGATTCATTATATATTTTTCTAAGTTTAGATAAATTAAAATAATTTCTAATTGGGTTGAAAAGTTTTGCTTAAATAGGTTTTATTTCTTAATACATGTGTTTGTGTTATACATTTAAGAATATCTACTGTGTCCAAACATAGGCTTATAAATTTTTATTCTTTTAATTGCAGAAACAAATTTATTTACTTGATGTAAACGAGATTACAAATTACAACGAGTTCTTCTTAAAATGATGATTAAAATTTTCTAAATTGTTTTCAAACCGAAATCTACCACATATTAGTCCTGCAGCAAATAAAAGAATCCTTACTAAGATTTTAAAAGCTGCACTACTCAACAGAGGATTTTTAAAGTTAATTAACACTGATGGTTTATATCCCAAAGGTAAACTAATCATGCTATGAAATTTTCCCCAGCTCCAACAAAAATAAGCAAATATTAAAAGTTTCTCAGCTCCTTAAAGGAAAAAACCTGGAATCATACATACCTTGTCAGTGATTTTTTGGAAGTGAACTTCCACAGAACAGCTCTGGATGTCCTTGTGCTCGTCAGAATTATGGATCAGCACTGAGAGTTTTTTGGACCGGATTTTTTGGGCTCGATAGCCAAACACAAAAAGCAGGGAATCAATGATATTGGATTTGCCACTGCCATTTGGCCCGATAATACATGAAAAACGCTGCACAGAGAAGGGGAAAAAAGTGATCTTCAAAGGGAAATAACTCCTGCCCAGCGTCCATCACCCATTTAAAGCACAATTATTCCTCGTGAGTGCAAGTGTCTGAGCTGAGAGCTCAGCTTTTGGTGCCAAAGGTAAAAGTGAATAAAAGCCCCACACCTCAGCTCAGCTTTCCCAGCAGCACTGGTTAACCTAAAGCCCTGCACTTCGCAGGCTTCACAAGCAAAGTTTCACTCTTTCTTCAAACACAGCCCTAAAAGTTCTCCAGCAAACGAAATCAAGAGAAAAGAGAGCTTTACTAAGCTGTGCTGACAAATTAAAATTGCACAGCATTGGAAAGTTGCACTTAACTGTTTTCTCTACTTAATTTAGAATATTGCTAGGAAAATATTTCTAAACCTGAAATATTTTTTCAGTTCTTTTGAGGTCAGCTTAGATGAAAATGCAGGAAGGAATAATACCACCCAGTGAAGCCTTACCTTCAGTTCAAAACTATTTAAGGAAAAAGAAAGATACCTTGTGAAAAGGTCCCAGAGTTTGCTCTCCTGCATAGGATTTGAAGTTCTGGTTTACAATGTGAGTGATCATGAGCCGAGGAGCACCAGGTTCACTGGTCATTGCTGGAGGTGGGGGAGGAGGGATGCTACCCAAAATCTCTTCTAAACTTCGATTATCCACTACCTCATCCGAGGTTGCTAAAACCCATCCAAATCAACAGAAAGATAACAAAAAAAAAAAAGAAAAACAAAAAACAACTGTAAGCTCTCAATGATTTGACAGCCTTTAAAATGTTGAACCGAAAAAGCAAACATCACTTCTGTCTGAACCAAACTACATTTTGACCTGTAATTATTAATATGAGCTGAGTGGAATTAAAATTCTTCTTTCCACAAACAAAATGTTTTTTAAGAGCTACTTAAGATGTCCCATTGCCGGGTTTGTTCTTTCATTATGTAATTCTTATCCCAACACACTTTAACAGGCCCCCTGCAATTCCAACAGCTCCAACGATCACAATAAATCTGCAAATCTGAAGCAGGCAAAGCCTTTCTAATGAATAAGTGCAAAGCCACATTTCAGAGTCCCTGTGCAAGATTTGGGGATCTCTGCACGAGGCTCTGAAAGCTGCAATGACAGCACGGCTGCTCTGCAAAGACAGGAAGTTTGTTACGAAAACAAACTGGCCCCCTGGATATCAGCAGAGCAGCTTTTCCCCAGGCACCAGCAGCTCCTTCTTCCAACAGGCAGCAGTTTTTGTCACCAATTTCAATGTATTCATCTACTTGTTAAATACCTGCCTTTAACAACTGCACATCTGGCTCCCTAAAAAATCACACAGCTGCTGGTTTTGCAGATTTTTTTTCTGTGAAAGCTCAGCTCAAGGAACTCAAGAAAATACACTGCTTCATGAAAAAGAAAGTCAAATCATTTTAAGAGTTAAGTAAATAAACTTGACATTTATTCCATTCCAAGAAATCCCATACCATTGGCTGCCTATAAATTTGGAAAATCCTGCTGTTGTACCACAATCTGAAGTACAATGCTCCGGATCAGAGCTCCGAAATAGGCTTTATTAGGAGAAAGTCTACAAATTGCTTTTGCACTTGTACTGGGCCGAACCCTTTAACTCTTTGCGAGCTCTTTTGACCATTTTAAAAGCAGTTTTAATTAGGCAGGCGTTTCACGTTGCTTTGGAAAAGGGAAAAGAGCAAATCTGGAAGAGTTGGGAAATTCAAGTTGCTGCTAAGGAGGCTCTATCAGCACCACAACAGCCAGCCCAGACCTACCTTGGGGAGGGTCTTTGTCAGGCTTCCTGGTGCCTTCGTTCTCCACTTCCATGTCCATGGAAGACTCCTCCAAGGGCTCCCTGCCCTTCCCATGGGCTGCAGTGGAGGTTTTGGTGCTTTTGCCTGGCACGGTCCCTGTTGGCTGCTCCCCTTCCATTCCAAGCAATCAAACTGAAGGGCTCTATCTCCTTTGCTAACACAAACAAGAAAACCCCGTGATCTCAGCACCGAGCTACAGCCCCGCAAGGAATTCACCTACACCTCTGCCCAGATGCTTGACTCATTTAGAAACTTAAGACTGAAGGTATTGAGAAGACAAAAATCCAATTTGGAAACAAAATATCGAGGCTAGCTTCATAATGATATATTTTAACATACATCACCCCTAAAATGAGAGGCTGAGCCTAATCTGTTTTAACAGCATGGATCTATCTACCTGCTGCCAACTCGTGGGGACACGTTCAGGGCAGTGACTTTGATCCCTGAAAGCCTCAAAGTCGTGCTGGGGGCAAAAGAGTTAAAGACACATTGAACAACAAACCCAGGAGCCACATGTCGCTACTATCCTGGAAGAACTAATTATATTTCAGAGCTGACACTCGTTTTACTTTCAGTAATCATACATATTTCTATGGTGCTAAATATTTCTATGGCTATAGAGAAATTGATAAACAGAGAAACAAAAGCCCTGCGTGATCATAGCAAAGACTTGACTCTTAAATAATTTAAATCAACACACTCTGCTCACAAAATACAACAAAACCCCTCCTGCCAGCATTCAACATTTCAGAGAAAGCAGAAAACGAAATACCTTCATCTAGCTGGGATGTTAAAGTGATCTGAGCAAGGACGAGCATTACAAAAGCCATCAGCTGGCACTTGAGCACAGCTCCCCAAACGGGTGAAGAGAAAGCACCCGATGAGAAGAAAAGGCGAGTGAGGAGCGAAACTCTCCCCAAAGAGTTGAAATCGCAGCAAGTGGCGAAGTGAGTTCGCAGAAAAACAGACATGAGAAAGTTTACTTCTCATAAGATAAAAAACTGACGTGGTTAGAAAGTCATCTTACAATTGGTGCCAATCATTTGACGTTTTCAGACCTACCCCCAACCCACACTCTCATGAGAGTCCTTCATTTGGGACAATGGGGGAGGGGGGGAAATGAGAGACAGAACTCATTTTCAGGCTATTTGAGTCTATGCCCCCGTTCAGAACTGTTCCGCAATGGCTGTCGCGGACAATTACAGCTTCTCAAAGCACATTTATTATTTTTATTTTTTTCCCCCCCAAACTGCTCCACTCCAACAGAATTGTGCAATACAGACCTATTTACCTTCCCACCCCTTCCCCCCCACTTCGGATACTTCATCAGAATGAACAAGCCGAACTACTTGACCTCAGCTTTTAAATCGCGATAAATCAGCTGCCACATAGTCTCTAACAAATTTAACAAATTCGTGCCCAGCCCCTCCCCCGAGCCAGCTCGAAGGTGTTTGGTAAAAGCATCTCTCCTGCCAAGCGCAGTTTTCCTTACGGGAATGGCGAAAAAGGAGCCGGAGCCGGACAGAAAAGCTTCCTTATTAACAGCCGATTAAATCTGATCGCGACAAGCCCTGTCAGTGACAAATTTGGGGATTTTTTAAAGCCTAAAGAGCCAGACTGCACCCCTGTCACGCTCTTTCCAAGTCACAGAATCCCAGAATATTCCGAGTTGGAAAGGACCCACGGGGATCATCGAGTCCAGCACTTTTAAGCGAATGACCAATCGTTAAGGGCTTTCTTGGGATTTTTCTCTCATCCTTCAAGCATCAACGCAGCAGGCAAAGCCGGGGCTAGAAGGGTCCCTGCTCTAAGCAGATTAAAATCGGATCTCTCCGCTACCCAAACGCGTCTTTGAACTTCCCCGTTCTCCGAGCCGCGGTCCCCGCCCAGGGGAGATCGGGCCCTGGGGCGAAGGCAAGGGACTGTGTGTGACCTTGTGG